TTTTTTCCATGTTTATATTTCAAAGTTTATATTTGTAGCAAACTTTAGGCTGTCTTTATTGAGTATTTTCCAAAAATACATGATAGTAATTTGTAGGAAATTTTATTCTCTATCAGAATATCACCTTCCACTTTGGTCGATTTCCTCACCATTTCAAAGTTATCTGCAAAAACGTTAAGCAACCTCCAAATTTATAATGGTGAGAAAATACTGAACTAAATATTTTGTTGTTAAACTTTGTACAATTAAATCTACAGTTCTACTGAACCGATTTTATTGATTAGGTCATTGGAAAGCATAATTCGTGAAGATTTGCAAATAATTATGAAAGTTAGATTTTTTAAAGATTTCCTAGGTGAAACCCGTCAAAGTCTGACAGTTGCTGTTGAGGTTGCAAGCAAGATCGTTTGACTATAAATCGATGATAAATAACTCCATTTTTTATTGGGTTGCTCATGATTTAGCAGTGTGCTTTAGGTACGTCCGATCTTAATAATCAATAACTCAAATGGAAGCTGGTATTTCACTGAAAGTTCTTAGGTAAAACAAATAGAATAACGTAATTAGAATTGAGTAAATATATCTAAAACTAAATTCCATATCAAAGATATAATTAAATTTATGTTTTCTGATTGAGCAATACAGTATATCTTTGACTTAACCGATTAAAACTATCAATATCTCAAGTGAAAGCCTTTGAAGTATTTGTATAAGTATTTAAGTCCAAGACATATAACCAAGGCACATTCCAAAATATGTGCTTGCATAGCTTTATTTTTAGGACCAAAATTATGAAAATCGAGCTGTTAGAAGAGCCAAACGAACTCGAAACAAACCAAATTTAACTCCCATAAGAAAAGGACAGTGACTCATTTTGTGCAAAACTCGAAATATACGTCAAAATGAATGCCGATGATTGATGGCAAATCTATGGTGCATCCATACCTTTAGTTTAAAGCCGGATTTACTCTATGCAGCAAAACCTGCTATATAACTTTTGCTATATAACATTGCTTTATAACTTTTGCTGTATGAAAAATTTACAAACAATTTTAGTGATTCTGGTGCTCGTGCCAAATGAAAGGCCAAATGAAAACGGTCGGGTTACTAGAGACCGTTGTATTTAACCACAACGGGCTCTGTCGCTAGTAGATAATAAATAGTACAACATTAATACTCGTAAATACTATAACAAACAAAAACTTAAGAAACCATAAAATACTTTTTCAAATCTCTTTTTAAAAAGGCATAAGATCTTAAGTTTTATAATTATTCTGGTAACTTATTAAACTGATGGTATCAAAAACATCTTGTTCTCTTAGTGTATTTATTATTCACTCTGGGTACGATGAAAACAGTTTTCCTTTAATTATAACCATGTACATTTTTATTTAAAAACCTGTTTGAAAAATAATAATCAATTAAATACTTAAATAATTTTTCAACTGGCATCATCTGTAATTTCAAAACAAGTACTGTAGTATGATTCACCCCAACAACAGTAGGTAGTGAGTGAAAATTTTGAAACATACGTTTTTATGTCCCTTGCCTTTTACTTCGTAGATACCAAATATGTGGTTTATCATTATGTGTTTTAATATTTTTTGGGACGGTGGCAACATGTTACACACATTTATTTGGCTTAAATAGGTTCTAGGTATTTTTTTCGTATTTTTAAAGTTTCGAAACTCACGACCGTCACGTGTCCCTAGGGTACATTATGCAACTTTCATGCTGTTTTTAGAATAGTTATTCATGCCGAAATATATAATGTCATATTTTTATCACATCAATAGTTATTAAACTTACGAAAAAGGAGCATATGATAATTTTGTTTTCATTGTCTGACTACCATGACTAAATAGGTCTGTCCCTCGATTTGACGTCACGAGTTAGGGAAAAATTTGCAACTTTGGAGCACGACAGTGGCAAGCCTGGCGTCGGTGGAGTCAGTTGGTTTTAGAGACTAGTTCGGGGTGTACGTCAGGATTGTAGTGCCGGTCGTTTCGAGTTGAAAGGAGGAATTACAAGATTAATAAAGGCAAGTTTGTGTTTTTTGCAATTTTGGTGTGTTCATGACCGTACGTAGTCATTTGATGAAGTAGACATGGTGTTAATTTTTGTTTATAAGATACAATTTCAATTGCTAGATTAACCTAGAAGTCCACTTTGTATCCTCGAACATGAGGTGCAGGGCTACCGCCAGAACAGAGCCAAATAACACGTAATGTCACGACCAAAGTTTCACGACCATCGCCGGTTTTTTCACGATCAATCCAGCCTTATGGATTATACTGAGTTTGGTCGGGACAATAACTTAAATATCGTTGTAAATTGAACAGTTTAGTTCAATTGAAACACATATTTTTATTATAACTAACAGTATAATTGAAGGATTGTTTAGAAAGATTTAGATTATTCTAGACAATTCACGACCGTACCGCTTGTCCCTGACCATCACGTTTATAATTTCTATCATATAAATTTCAAAAATTTAAATATCATCATATTTCAATGTTTTATACACAAAAGAAGCACACCTCTATAAAAACATAACGATTTTTCGGGTCTCAGGTAAGTTTTTTCGGAGTTATACAAACTTAAAAATATGTTATTGGTTTTTTTTTATTTTTTGAGTTTTTTATTTTTTCTAGAAAAACCAAATATACCCAAAAGCTTAGTGAGCTCTTTATTGTATAATGGCCATAAGAGTAAATCAATTTATAGCAAAACATAGTTATAAAAATAATATTAACTATTTTTAATATTCAGTTTTATGTCCGTGATGGTCGTGACAAAATTTGGTGTTTTTCCATCAAAGATGCTCTATTAATAAAAAATCACCAAAGATATTGCGTTGCCATGGACATTTTATGAAACTTCAAATGTTAATGAAATAAGAAAAATAATAAAATTTTCAAAAAACGGAACAATAAATTTTTAAAGTCCTTTTCCTGAAAACGTACGTTTCAAAGTTTTCACTCTAGTATCAAGCTTTGCTATAATTTTCAATAATCTGGTTTATGCAGTGTCTATATTTTGTAGCATTGTTGTGTGTGCAGCATTTCCCCAAGCTCTTAAACCATATCTTATTAATGATTCACACATGGATAAATATAGCAATTTCATGGTGTGAAATGGTAAAAACTGCTACGAATAATAAAAAGTAGCTGCACACACCCTTAGTTTTTTTTTCAAGATCTCTTATATGTACATCCCATTTAAAATTGTGGTTAACGGTAATCCCTAAATATTTAAAATTGTAGACAGTTTCTAGTGGTTTGCATAGGCATTTTTCTTCAACATATGTTTCTAAATGTAAACAGTTATGAGAATGGGCTTTTATACAAGGGTTTCTAAAATTATAAAATAGGGGGAGTGTATGTGCATTATTTTATATTTATAAAATAATGCAGCTTTTTTCAGGGCATAACAAATTTTTTCGTGTTTCAGAGTATCAAAAGGCTTTGGAAAAATCAATAAATTAAATATTACAATTACAGTAGAACCTCGATAGTTTGACACTTTGTGGACTTAAAGGATGTCTAACTATCGAAATGTCGAACTATAGGGAGTATATGGAGTTTAATATACAGAAAAGTAAAAACACAAGTCTTATATAGAAATCACCAACATTTATTAAATACTAAAAAGCCTAACAATTTCACTGTTCATTAGTAAGTCTCAAGTCAGACAAATTAATGTTCAAGTCAGCTTACAATAGTAAACATTAAAAATATCACTTGACAAAATAGCTCATCCCGTGTCGAACTATCGAGTGTCTCAAGGTTTACCTACTTACTGTACTTGTTTTCCTAAACTCAACTCATTATATACAAAGTCTGAGAAATCTTCTAATAGATCAATTGTGCCTTTTCCTGTTTGATATGCATAACTTACTGACACTCGTAAATAATTATCAAATATTTGTTTAAATTATTTGCAATATACTTCTCTATGATTTTATTTATGGAAGAAAGGATTGATATCAGATGACAATTATACCCCCGCCGCAGCAAACCTGCAGACTAAGCGAATTTCCATTTGATTTACACTGAAATGTCTACTTAAAAATATAACATTTATTCCCGATTTAAATAGAATTAGTTTAACAAGTACTTAGGTTTGATGCATCAGGGAGGTAAAACTGTTTTTTTTTATGTTAATAGTTAGTAAGAAATAAAAACATTTTTCAAATTTGATCAAAATATGTTCATAAACAAGCAAACTACAACAGTTTACTTATTCTCCATAAGAATAACATGGGAATTTTAAATTTACAATTTTTTGGAATTTTCTCCGTAACCTTTAGGCGCATAATAACGCTTCAATATACTAAATTATTTGTTTTTTTAAGCTCTACAAAATGGTTTGGAAAGAAATTGCTAAATTTTATGTTTTTTGGGTCAAAAATGCGAAAAACCTATTTTTACCCCATAAAACCCCCCGTAAACCCCCGTTCCCATGGTCCGATCATGCTGGATCGCGAACTCGTTCGAATCCGAATTTCATCAAAATCGGATCATTTTTGCTCGAGTTATAGTGCTAACGGACACATATATATATATATATATATATGAATTTGAACGGATGGTGTTTTTGGTCTCTAGGGACCTCGAAACAAAAAAATCGGTCCCGCGTCCAGGTCTTACCATGAGTACTACGGTAATAGCTTATTCCCTATATGGGAAATTCGCTAAAAATAACCATAGTGACTTCCGGATTAATACAGGGTGTTCATTTGAAAACTTTCCATATCTGTTGAGTGCCATTTTTGAAAAAAAATGTTATTCTTAATTTTAGTTTCATTTTGACCCAATAAACCTATTCCTGAATTGTTTGTACTAACTTACTTACGGGACACCCTCTATATTAAAATATACCACATCATACGAGGGAGTATATATTTTATCTATGATCATACAGTACTGTGAAACGATTTACAATTGTACATCATCATATCCCACTCCTGCAATATCCAAGTAGGCTATCGCCCTTACCTGTCTGTGCAGTGGAGATGTCTTTATTCAACTGTTCTGACTGGGATATTTTCCAAGAACACTACACCCACTCTCTGTAAACATGAGCATGCAATTTATTGTAACCTAGTGACTGAGGAAATAGCGCTTGTAGCTCTGATATCAGTTTCGTTATTGGGGCGTTAATCGTGTGATAAACATGGGAGGTCAGACGGAACCTTGGGGTTGGAACGTAGTAAGTTACTGCTATGAATATCGATATCGCCGTTAATGGCCTAAATTGTTTATCTGACGTTTTAGACTTAAAAAATCATAATAAAAACCAGGCTACGTTTAGAATAACGACAATGAGGTGCAACGCCGTAGGTTGAAAATCAAACAGGTAAGTTATCCTGCAAACATTCCGTCAAAACATAGAAAAATCAAACCATCGGGAAATCGTCTAAATAATGAATGATTTTAGCGAATTTCCCATATAGGGAATAAGCTATTACCGTAGTACTCATGGTAAGACCAGGACCCGGAAACAATTTTACATTTTGAGGTCCCTAGAGGCCAAAAACACCATCCCTTCAAATTCATATATATATATATGTGTGTGTGTGTGTGTGTGTGTGTGTGTGTGTGTGTGTGTGTGTGTTTGTATTCACCGAATAGTGGCATCCTTCACAGGCACACGGCCGTACTGTGGCACCTTCAAAAATTGTGGCACCTTTTTCAGGGTGCCACAGCTAATTCGATCATTTTTTAGGTTTTCCAGCATTATTATGTCGTTTAAACATCACATGCCACAATTGAGTATTTTTGAACTCGTTGATGTGAGTTTAAGTAGCGCAGGTACACACCGAATTGTGGAACACGAAACCATACAGGTAGCTAGCGCGCCTCGCGCCGTCCGCCGGAACTATAACTTTCGTAATGCTACGTTGCCAATTCTCGCGCCAGCCTACACTCGAAATAGTGGCACCATGCCACAATTCAGTATATATCAACAGTGTGTGGACAGGATGCCACTTAATGAGTTGTAGAGCTTGAGCAGTGTGTAGAACAGTGCAACAAGCAACTAATAAACTAATAATACTATACTGCCACGTACTATAAAACAATTTAAGTGACATAAATAATATACTTTTGCTCCGAGTGGTGAACAATGTTTTACATTACAAATAATTTGTGTAGTAAATAATAATTTAAATTGATTTTACGCAACCATTAAAAAATTTATTTTTGTTTACAAACATAAATTGGTAACGTAGTTATTTTGTATCAATTGAATTTGTACACTGAAACAATAACAATGTTTGAGGTTAGAACGCTATATAAGTTGTCCTAGACTGCTTTTTTTATCTTACAAACTATTTCGTGCTGATACATCTATTTTTTTTAACATTTTAGTCATGTTGACAAAATATTTTGCAATTACATTTCTGAATCAGTCAGTAAAGGTAGATTTCGATGCATCATTGCTGAAAGTTATGTTTTGCTTCTCACTCTCAGAGTATTCCAAAGACATCTAATGTTTCAATCCATGTTCAAATGTTATATGAGGTAAACATATAACCGAATCAATTAAAGTACTTAAATTAAAATACATATTGTTATCAACACGCATAATCTAGTTCAGATTATAATATCATCTCACAATCATATTTGTAAAACCTACTGTGGTGTTTTAACCAGTCCCCACTAACAAAAGCATAAAATGAAAGGTCCTAAAGAGGTTAACATTGAGTCATAACAAAAGTAGTTTAAAAGTTGTAACCGTGATACTGCAAATAATTTAATATTGTTAGATATTATACGATCGTTTTACAATTTTGTCAATCTATCTGTTACTTTCATACAAATGTATTTTTATTATTCAATGTTTTGTTTTGTAGAACCTTTAGTATTCTCAACTTTATTAATAACTAGTAGAATACCCGTCCTTCGTACGGGGTTGGCATATAAGTAGAACATGATAATTGCAGTGATGGGAGAGGAAACGGTTTAAGAAAATATGGTCTTTTAATTTATACGGTATCCTATAGTGTAGCACACATATACCTATAATAAAAGAATGTGTTTAATGGTTTGCACTGTAAACGAAAACCTATCACAATATTTCCAAACATGTTAATAGGGCAATTTTCTAACATATTTTAGTGAAATTATAATCAGGCAAACGGGAATTCGCTCAGTTATAGGTTTGCTGGGACAGGGGGATTATATTACTGTTTACAAACAAATAAATCAAAAGAATATACCTCATAAATCAGGATAAGGGCCTAGGTTGATAAGGCAATATAGAATGTTGATTATTTCCTATATCCATCGAATGATTTCTTTTACAATGAAATATTATAAAAATAAATAAATATTATTACAACATTTAATTTCACAAAATTAAGTATATTTAAGTATAATTAACAAACAGACTCAGTATAGTTAGATCATAAACAAATGAAGTACTGTTACCGAAACAATCCTATAATAATGAAATTACATTTACATATGGTTTGGCAGCTCCTTTAGGTAATGTTAAATAATGTTTACATTCAGGCTAGTGACATAATTATTTTAAATTTATAATCCTTACCCTCTCTGTTCTAATATTCGTGCAGTATTTAATAAGGTTTGAACCAGCTGGGTTGAATTGTGAAATCAAAATCAATTTGACAGTTAGTTAGTTCTGCTTGTTTACATTTTTAAACTTACTAGGTTTGTTCTTTGTTACCATGGATACCATCAATCAATATTTACTTTTAAATCTCTCATCTCAGATTTTTGAAAGCCCACGGGGCAAAGCCCTAGGTGAATATCGAAGCGGCAATAGTTCTATATGTATCCTCGGAGCTGTAGCTTCATTTGTGTGCAATTTGAGCATAGTCGGATCAGTATTTTTTGAGATTAGCTCATACAAACACACACACAGACACCCCCTCTTCTTTATAATAGTATAGATATAGATAGATAGAATAGAATATAGAATAGAATAGATAGATAGATAAACCTATTTCAACGTACAATATCAGTTTTAGGAAATTCCTAGTAAGGTTGTTAGAAGTATATTGGCATCCGTGAAGTTTGTGTAATGTTTTTAAAAATCACTGTGGGATATATCTAACTTCACTTATTATTTATTTAATATGTTTCTACTTCTTGAAATTCTCAGTTAACCGGGAGGCGGAGCAAACAGTTTGTTCTAAAATGAACTTGAAAATTTTAAACAATCTTTTTCTGTTGGTTTACTTAAAGTTATACCCCTACCATGTAGCCAATTAGGTAGTATACTTCAATTTAGGATTAATCTAATTCAAGCTGGTAGTAGAAGTGAGATAAATTAAAAGACAAAGTAGGCCAAAGATATATTTATTTTATGGATGTCAAATTTCTCAAAATACACTTTCCAAATACTGTAAAATTAAATATGCTCTTGTTACTTCCAAATATTATACTAAGTAATAAAATACTGGAAAGATCTTACTTTAATCAGAGACACTGGTTAAATGGTCAGAACTGGCACTAGCAGATACCATGCAATGCAACTAGAAGTAGTACTAAAGCTACTGGACCAATCATAAGAAGGTTAACAAGAAGACAATGTGGTTGATTTCTGTAATTTCTACAGCAACCATATATTTGTAGACCATATTTCCAGAGAACTTAACTGACAAAACTTGAAATTGGTTATCAATCACCACTACCAACCCTACAAACTAAATCTTTTAAACTGCTGGACACTCTTTCTTAATTTTAGTCTAGCCAATGGTTAAATAATTTTATTTTGTTTTTAATTTCAATTTATAACTAACTACCATCGGTACAAAGTATATAATGTTCTACTATGAATGCAAATCTTTAATATAGTCTAAATTTCCAGTCCCACCCTCAAAAACTATAATATTTAACAGTTGAATCTTTATAACGTATAAACACATTATTTTTAATCGGTCATCAAACTGATTCTTGAATTAGTAGTTGCAAGAGTACGCAAAACTGCAGAGAGTCCTTGAAAATGCTTGTGCAATGATATAGTTTTAAATTATAAAAGAAACCCTTCAAAAAATTGTATTAACAGGACCAGAGGACCAATATGCACATGGTATTTCATTTGTATAAGGCAAAAAGTTCAAATCATATTAACTTATGATTGCCAATAGATTTTGGGTTTCCTTAAAACAATTATATAAAACTGTCTGCAAATGTCAATAAAACTAATTTTATAAGAAATTGTAGATTCTTCTGTTGCTCTGTAGGCGACCATTTTGGTCACACAAGGAAGTCCAAACTTATATCTTAGTTTGAACAACGTCATCTTGATTTTACATTGCTCAAGATACATAATCGACACATAGGCTTAAAAAAAAATAAGTAAAGAAAGTAACTAGTGATGGACTGCGCAGACATAGGAACAGTCTAGACTTGCCTCTTACTGACGTTTTCCAAACGAATATAGAAGTTAGATCTACATTCTTCATTTCACCAATATAAACCAGCTAAATGTATGTAAAACAGCTAAAAACATCATAGTGAGGTGAAAAATTCGTTACGCATACTTTTACATAACCATGAATTAATTATATGCATACAGAAAAAACGGAGTCATACTTATTGCGTATTTTAATGTAAACTAGTGGCTTGTAGGGACATAGTCCCTAAAAAGCTACGGAAAAGGAATTATTGTTGGAATATTTAAACAAACTCAGAATCAAATTATCTATATGTCAGGATAGGCCTAGATATCCCACTACAACATATCTTTTGTGCAAAAAAACAAAACAGTTTGTTGTTTGTCTTTGTTTGCTTTTGTTGATAACGTTATGTTCAATAAAGAATTTGAATGATTCCAGAGGTTTAACTGCTAAAGGCAGCAAACATGTTTATGAATAAATATTGGTTTATTAAGGTAGCTTTGGTTTTTTGGTTAATGCTGATAACAAGGCTTCCCCGATTGAAATACAGTATTGGAAATTGTCTTCGTCAAATAAGAAAAGGCAAAAAATGGTGTGTTGAGATACCCTACCCAGTTATTATTTCTAAGTCTATGCTCATTTTGTAAAGGTTTAACAAAATTATTCTTAAGTAAAGGCATCCCATTGACAGAACTTGGACC